TTAGAAGTATACAGACATATTTTCAAGCGCAGAGATAAAAAGCCAGGTTATATTGGAATGAAATTTTAACAATTAATATTTTCATTTTATATTAGAATGAACTATTGTTTAAATTCATTACTCAACTAAGAAATTAATTTTTTATTATTTTCTAGCAATTTCTATATACACGTATATTTATGAATATATGTATTAATCATATAATCTGTGGCTTACATTTAATTACAGAAAATAGACTAGTAAATATTAATACCCCTGTGCCCGCGAGCTCCCTAGCGTGCACTTAACACATCCCTCTATTCGAACCATATGAAACCTACCGTAACCAATGAACACCTCGCAACGAATAACAGAGAGATAACATCAAAACCTACACTCGTATCAATTGTCGCTTTGTACTTTACCGGTGTGATAATTAAATGTTTCTCTGCATAAGTCGCGTTATGAAATTGCAGAAGACGTTGTATCGAAGGGTGCGAACACCCAGCCGTATTCGGAATGGCGGTCGTTTGTGATTCGTCGAGGGAGAATGAGATACAGACTCGTTGCGCTGATATCGATATCGATTCGTTTGTAACGCTAATTATCGCTGCACACACAACCACTTTCAACCCTTGGTATTTCTCTTTCTCGCTTGAATTCCGCTACGCTGACAGGTTTACCAGGCGTGTTACAGGCGTGTAAGTAGTTTACATGGTGACACGGTGCAACAGCCGCGAGGGTAATTACGACACTCGAGGCCGCTTGTGAGCGTCGCGACGCTCCGACAACGAGACTCTCTCTCTCTCTTTTTCTCTCTCTATATGTGTATCTAAGCCTTTTAAAAAGGGATTTCGCGTCCTTAAGCTCTCGTTCTTTCTTTCTCGCCTGCAATGTCGATTCTTTTGCTCGACAGATCGTGCCTTTTCTACAACCGGGACTCGTCACGATGGCGCCAATTAGAACGCAGGGACACCTTTTCAATGTTGCTGGGGTGCATTGTGGCGCGATAATTATGATGCTTCTTCTCATTCAACTCAATGAACGTCTATTAATTAGGCGTGACTGTAATATTGTCTGCTGTTGAAACGTGCCACCCTCCTCTGTCGCTAAAGTAATGAGATTGATTCGTATTTTTCGCCTCTTTCTTTTTAAAACTCCTGCGCTATGCTATGGGGAAATTGTTGGGACCTACAAGGCTATCTGACAACTTTCAATTTTATGTTTTAACCCTTAACGGGTATGAAAGGACGTCAGTGAATTTAGCTTTTATTTTAGCCACTTTATAAAATTTGAATTAATACCTTTTTTGAAACACTGATATTTTTACTAGTTTTTCTTTCTCTGTTATTTCTCAAGAGTGTTCGGCTCTTTATATTCACATCGAAAAAATTTCAAAGTCGTATATGAAACTCGTCTTTTTTCAATTCTTTCACGTTTCTAAATTTTTGTTCATATTCAATGTTTAAATTTACTGAAGTCAACTAATACGCTAACCTCTTATACTATAATATCGTGTCACTTGTGACGCACACTACAGTTGGAATATGATAAATCGAACTCGTATTTTCACTGCAATTCAATTTTGAATTCAATTATAATTATATCTATATAATCAAGGATTGCTGAAAACAAAAAATACTTAACATTTTAACTTTGTTAACTGCCTTGATACTGTAGCCATAATTAATTAGTTGTGCATGACATACCAGCCTTAAAAGTTGTAGGTTACGCACTTAAAACATTCAAATATTTATAATTTTTTTAAAATGAGTAGCTTCTTTCTGAGAAATATTCTCAGTAGTTTGGATTTTAAACGTCTAAATATGCCAGGTGTGTTATTTTGATGAAGTGTATTAAGGGTTAAAATTCCCGAATTTACGAATGAAAGATTTCGTTTATTGTTTATTGTTCTGTTTGTCTCTGTTAGGATTTATTTGTAAACCTGTGATTAGTAGGTCGCAGTTTTTCTGAATGGATTAAAGTTAGGTTAGAAAGTGTATGTGTGAATAGACAATTAGGCGAGGACTTGCGAGAAAGTAAGTGTAGCTAATGCCACTCTGGTAGCGAATGCGGAAAATATCCCTACAGTTCACAGCAAAGTTGTTCCCTTCAAAGTATTTCTTTTTTGAAGCGACATACTTTTCAGCCGCTCCTTTTTATTGGCAAAAATAGCGTTGGAAGTGTTATTATGTGGGAGTCGTTCTAATTAGTAGGGTCGCGCTTTTCTTTAAAAATCGTTTGTCGTCGCATTTTCCTTGAATCTCTTTCTATTAATGACGAATTAACGTTTCTTTTATGTGCAGATGTTATTCTGGAAGCATTCGTTACTGATATATGTGTATACAAGTACATTTGTATTGGTAGTACAATTTGTTTATTTAGTACTATTTGTATTGGTTATATGAGCATAATATTGTTTTAAATTTGCACAGGTTTTATTGTACCATTTTTGTATATTAAGGTTATTTATTCTGATTATATGTATTAGTACAGTTTTATTTCAAGCTTATACTGGTTTTACATGATGTATTAGTACTGTTTATACTGATTATATTAGTATAGTGTTATTACAGAATTTTGTAAAGTATTTTTTTCATGTTATTTATATTATATTGTTTATATTAATATTTGTTCCTAGCGTCTATTATTTATATTACATGATTTCATATATTATATTGTTTATACTAAATTAGTTTAAGCTTCAAATTATGTATAGAACAATTATATCATGAAATCATTGCAGGCTGTTTTGAAATTATTATGCAATAATATCTAAGTAAATAAGTTTCATACCATAGTAAATTAATTATCAACAAACATAAAAGTTTGACATCTTTACAATACTTATTTCCATTTCATACATAATCAAGTGTATTATAAATTACGATAGTACAATAAGTAAATTTTTTCCTAATTCTAACTGTTCACACATTTTATGTACTACTCTATCTATATATATACCTTGTTATCTTATCATAGATTGTATCACACTTGTGTGTTTATATGCAAATGTACAAGTAGTATATACGTGTTTACACAAGTGGCAATTCGATCCTAATTTTAGAGACTAATCTTGAAACTGATATCTGATCAAAGCATAATTTAAAGAGAACTCGATATAATCAAAGATATTGAAAACCGATTCATCTGAACAATTTATACAGTTACATTTTAACTGTCTGTTAGACTCACGTGTATCTACGAAATACATGGCTAACTTTTTGCAAAATAATTACAACGAAATAATTATTACAAGAGTTCTAGAAAATGTAGATTTTTAGTAGTTCTCGGTAGGTGTTTCGAAGCCTTCCCTAGAAGTGTAATCAGATTGTACTTTTAGTTCTAGTAACTATAAAATTTCCTAGACACCGTGTTTGTTCCACCTGTACATATGTATATGTATACTTAATATTAATGCAAAAACTTATAATCAATGCCTTGATGTAAAAATCAAAGTTGTTGTAAAGTATTTTGAATAAATAATGTAAATAACCTTAATTTTGTTGTTGAACGTACTAAAATTTAACACGTAAGAAAATCTAAAAATGAATATAAATTTTTTTTAACTTGATAAAGCTAAATCAAAAGCAAAGAAAATTAATCATAAGAACTTTCACATATTAAAATAATAAAAAGATTCATTTGACACATATTTCTGTTAGATACAACACGACATATATTATAAATATTCGCCCGCTTAATTGAAAGTTAATGATAAGTAGTACGGTGTTTAGTGTTGGTACTCAATGGTCAAAAGTGATAAAATACTTCTAGTATTATTATTGGAATCTTTTGAGCCCTTTGGTCAACAATTGTTATCCTTCAGATCCTTATTTATTTTATGTTGTTTTGGTCAGGAGAGACAAGGATGATATTCGATTTCCAAAAATCAGCAAAATGTGATTTCGCTTACCTTGAAGTCAAGAAGCAGTATTTCGTCATGATTTCTTTTATAAAATATTCTCTGAACACTTATCTAGACCGGTACAGACACCAATTTTGCAATTTATCCTTAACCCTTTCATTACGGGTGCCGCCTATAGGCGGCGGCCGCGCGACGGCCTGTGTGTACGGGTGTTATATGTAAATAACTGAATATTCATACAATATACTCATTTTCATGTTTTTCCTATAATACGATGAAACAGTTGTTATGTAGCTTTTAAAAAAGTGTACATACGAGGCAATCACAAAGTGGCGTTGAAAAACGTTAGTCCGAATATCGAAGACTACTGACGAGCAAAGTGCACACTTCGCGGCGCGGACTGCCGTAAGGAAAGGGTTAAAATTCCACGGAAAAAAAAACATAAATTTTTTATAGCTAAAATATTTCATTCCCATTTTTCCAAAATTGGCACTGTACCAAGATTAGTGTAAAAAGAATATTTTGTAAAAAAAGTCATGACGAAATATTGCTTCTGGATTTTACGATTTTAGTTAGTAAAGAGAAATCGCATTTTGCATATTTTTGGAAATTGACGATCTATTATCCTTGGCTCCCCTATCCAATACACCGCACGATAAATAAGGATCACAGAAGCGTATCAATTTTCTACTAAAAGTCCCAAAACTCCTCAAAAAACATACTCGGCGTATTCGATCAGAACCGACCCTTAATTGTAAGCAATACTGCATAATTGGTAGTTAACCAGTTAAGTGTGTTTGACGACTATATCCGTCACGAAGATGTAGCAGAATTTTGTAACATGACGACTATATCCGTCATGCGTAAAATTTTGTCACAATTTGATATTTAAATTATAATTTTGGCTAAAACTAAATTATTTTCTTAAATTGTAATATGTTTAAAATATTTAGAGGTCAACACGAAATGAAATAAACAAATAAAAGGTGTGTATGATTTGAGATGGATTCATAAATTCTTGAGAGCTAACTCGTCATCGCTTGATTATCGCGACGCACACTGGTGCGCGCTTTGCAAAAAGATCGCCACAGTTAACTGGTTAAATACATAAAGTTGAATGGTAAGTTGAATACATAAAAATTTGATGTTTCAGTGACCGGAAGTGCCTAAAAGCCCGAAGATTCTGCCGTCGCAGCAACTGGGCGCTGCGGTCGCTCCATGGCCGGGCGCCACCGGCCTCCTAGCATCTGTCACCGCTGACGATATGGCACACAAAGGTAAGTTTTCTATATTGCCATGAAATCCAACTGCTTCATAAGCATTTGAGAAACTGGAGAACATGTAAACCTAGACCAGAGTGAGCGTACTCCCAAAATGCAAACTCCTCAAAAATTCACTACTAGTAATATAATCCGATTCTCGAAAATGTTTACTTATCGTTAAAAAGTTCGAATTGATACTGAAGAATGTAAAGTGGATGCCAGTAATATGAATTGCATATCAAAAAATTTGAATTGGTAGTCAAAAATATGAATGGAACCTATAAAAATACAAATTTGTGAAAATATTAGTACCAACCTGCAAAAATACGAAAAATAATGCTAAGTCGAAATGAGCTTATTAAGAGTATTTTGGTGCAACATAAGGTTTATTTAGGTAAGAATAAATAAACGAATATGTTCAAAAATTTTGAATTTTAATATTTTAATGTTTTAATATTGAATTAAAGGATTTGCAAATTCGGAGATTTGAGTATCTGTAATTAATCGAATTTAAAAATTTGAATACTTAAAACCCAGTAAATTTAAAAAATTTCAAAACATCCAAATTCGTAAATTTCTAAATTTTTAACTTTGAAAATTAACAAATTTCTGTATTCCAAGATTTGACACCTGAAAAATAAATAAATTTAAAAACTTAAAACCTAGCAAATTTGAAAAGTTCCAAGCGTAAAAATTTAACGATTTAAAAATAAATTTTCAAAATACCTAAATTTATGAATTTCTAAATTTTTAACTTTATAAATTAAAAAATTCCAAGATCTGGCTGTTCAAAACTTGAGAGCTCAAACCTAGAAAGTTTAGAAATTTGCAAATATCTAATTTTAAAAATAACAGAATTTCTAAATCCAAAAATTCCGAACATTAAAATGTCAAAATTTCCGAACCTCAAAATTAAAAACTATACAAACCAAAACAAGTAAAACGTAGCAGATCAAGAAATAATCATTCCCTAAATGCAAAAATTTGCAACCGTACCAATCCAAAAAAATGGCTAAATTTGCAAACCAAAATGATCTAAATCAATCGGTAAGAGTCGGAGTTCGCGGAACATCCGTGAAGTCGAATCGAAACGTCCGAGAATCGAGATGGGGACGCGTTCAGTTGATGGCTAAAGCGTTTAACCCCATTAGTCCTGAATGGAACTTCACTCGTCTCTCTTTCTCCTTGTCTTTCCAAGTTTCTCCGCGGGTTCTCGGTGGTTCGTTCTCGCTCTCTCTGCAGCTCTCTTAACACGAGGGTCCAAAGAGGATGAACAGACGACGTCTCAAGGCTTTCTAAAGCCGGCAGCTCCTGCCTGAAACTGGCTGCTCACTTCACGTATTGATTTCCATTCTCTTACGCCTTCCAACACTCTCACCCCTTTTCCGCGGCTTCTCTCACCCTCCTACCGACAATCATCTTCCTCGCTTGATAAGATGAAACTGACGAGGAATCTGTCATCGGTGTCCTCGCTCCACGATTATACACCTGTCCCACAATTTACGCGGAGTATCCGTTCCACGTCGGTTCGTTTTACGCGATTTCCATTCGCGTAAATCTCTGACAGTATAAAAAGAATACTACTGGATCTACCAAATGTCTCATGCGAATTTAAATGTGTATTCAAAATTTTGGGTACCTACTGCAAATATGTAGGCAGAGTGAGATGTAGAGATTTTAAAATCGTTCCTAATGATTAAACCTGTAGGAAACTATCGAAAACGATACTAGACATGATTATTTTTAATTTCACAACGAACATCAATGATAATGAAGTATTGTCGTTAAGGATGAGTTATAGAGCTTTTAGCGTGGTTGCAGTCGATTCTCTACGTCAAAAATTATGAAAAACGATACTAAAATAATTTTTCGATTCAATGACGATCAATGTTGACAACAGATTCCTGTTGTCAGATTGCTGCCAAAATTTATAAAGCAAATTTAGGGTGACTTACGAGTCTACCCTCGAGATTTCAAGTCAGAAGACCTACATTTGAAGCCTGTAGCTTGGTACAGACAAACAGTAATAAGTAAACTCACTCAGCAATAAGTGAAGGTTGATAAATATGAATAATAGAAATACTATTTATATTAAGTAACTTTTGAAATAGCTTAACAAGAAAATAATGGCTTCTACTCCACTAGTCTATTCTTTTTATATCTCTCTTGGAACCATATCTCACAAATCGCTATGGTATTGTCATCATTTTCTACAGTGTGAACAAATTTTTTTACAGATACTTAAAAAAATGTTCAAATTTTCTTGAAAGCGCCACAGGAAAAAATTTTATTGCACATTCTTTACTTATTTTTCTATGTTGTTCATTTTTACCATCATTTCGGAAACGCCCTGTATACTTGATACTAAACCTCTAGATCACTCGAACAACGAATCCATCCATGAGTGCAATACTTCTCACAAGTCTCCTATAAACGACAGAAAGAATACCCAGTAAAATGCAGTGTTTGAAAGCGTGAAAGCGACGAGTTAAATGGTCGATACAGATTAAATCACCGAAGAATCTACAAGTGAGCGATCGAGAATCTGCACGATGCTCGAAAATCCACCAGTTATCTGACCGAGTGGGGTTCAGTGGGGTGTGTAGCGTTAAGTTGGCGTTAGCTGATCGAATCGCTTCGATGGGATCGATCGTACGTACAAATCGTATTTCCGGTTTCCTTCTCGTCACGAGAACAAATTGACTTTTCTTTCTCTACGAGCTACCCGTCTCTTGTTTTAGAAGTTTTAAACTTACATAGTAAATTATTATTAATTTTTAAATAGATGATAATCAAACATCAAGTTTCATATACTTTTGAAACTTAACGAAATATGATAGACTTTGTTTTATTATAAGACAATTAAAATTAATTTTTAAACTGTTATGAATATTTATAATTTATAGAGACGAAGAGGGGAATTTATAAAATATGATTTTATTATGATTTTGCTATAATGATATTAAATAAAATTTATTACATAACTTTATCGTATTGCAATTCAATTTTATTTTTATTATACTTAAAATAATCATTTATGGTATATATTTATTATACCTTTATCGTTTACTTTATTTGTATAGATTTTATATAACATTTATTATCTTCTCTAAGCTGTAAACTTATAATAATTAATTTTGATTTTGATTTATTATTACTATTAATCACTAAGTTTTCAAGCATTTTAGGATCCTAAATTTTGTTAGATAACATCCTACAGAGTTTCGATCTACATTTCATAATCTAATTTCACCAAGCCTCGGATTGATTTGACTTTGAGAAAATAGAAAATAGTACAATTTTTTATTGTAATTCGTTTTACTAAAAAATGAGTGAACTCTAATTTTGCTGAACGTTATAAATGATAGAAAGAATGTAGATGTTCGCGGGAAGCATTTATCAGATTACATTTAATAAAGTTTTTAGGATGATTCGCCAACTAGCCACATTAACGAACTTGCAGAGTAACGACGAAGACTTGGTTGTAATTTCTCGTGAGGGTTCCAAAAGTTTGACAAGTCCTCGCGTAATTCACGAAACCGAGACTCCATAAATTCTGTCATTAATTTTCTAACGGGCCATGGGAATAGTAATTCTGCCATGAAGCTCAAAATTTTATATTAACTTCACGACTTCGCGTATTCCTCTTTCTATAAACCAAATAATAAAGCAGATTGATAAAATATGTGATATTTAATGAACAGTCGGTGGCTTAATTATTATACTCAAGAGATTTCTTTTTGAAAATGTGCAAGATGCGGCTTCAGTTAGTATAACAATGTAAGATTGTAAAGCAAGAAGGAAGAAAATATTAGATAATTAAGTAATATAAAATATCAAATATCAAATAATATTACCCTATATATATTTTAGTAATATAAATTATTGCCCGATTTTTATTTTAATTACATGTATTATTGTTAAAGAATAATAAATTATATCAAAATATACACTACATTCCACTATTAAAAATAATATAATATAACATAAAAATTATGTTGTAAATATAATGTATTGTAGCGTTACAATAATGATATCTGTTCTATTTTATTATTCAAGGTTATAAAATACGGTTTAGATTAGAGTAAGTTAGGTCAGGTTATTATTTCTTATACAAGTATAATAATTTGCCAAATAATTTGTTCTTTTACAAAATTTGTAAATTTCACAAAATTAATAAATGAAACTTTAATAAATAAAATTGTAATTGCATTGCATTATACATAATCAAATATATATAATTATATACATTTTTAAATTTAAAAAATTAAATTATTACAGTAATCACATATACTTACTTCATTATGCATATTTTATATTGCACATTACAAACTGTACATTCGATGCTTCTCATTATATATTGCATATAGGATACATTGAATTGTATTGTATGTACTACACACTGCACTTTACATGCTGCACACTATACATATATTACGCATTGTATATTGTACATTGTATAATGTACACTAAATATTGTGCAAACACGTTGTATATTATATACTGTAACACATCACTCAATAAGTCTCCGGTCTAACTAAGAAAAACAAATTTTTTTTTAGAAATTCCACTTTAATCATCAATATACTTTCCTTCCAGTGTGATACATTGATTCCAACGCTCCTCTAACTTTTCATTTCCCTTTATATTAAACGATTTGTCTTTGCCCCCAAAATAAGCTTCAGTTTCCGCAATCACTTCTTCATTTGAGCCAAATTTCTTTCCCTGGAGCATTTTTTTCATATCTGCAAAGAGCCAGTAGTCGCTGGGGTCCAAATTTGGGGAGTACGGTGTGTGGGGAAACAATTCAAAACGTAATTCATTCA